ATTGTGTGATATCACAAAACAATTATTGTTATATACCAACAGAGGGATTTTACATTTCGAATATTTCAGTGGAAAAATGTGATGAATCAACTGTTTGTATTAATAAAGACAAAACCATCACTATTTTGAGATGTTCTGGCAACAAAATTTTAAATGAAAAAATGACTGTCTGAATGATGAAAAGTGTGAAACAACAGAGTCAAGTGAATGTATTAAATGCATAGACAATTATTACATCCAACTAGGACAATGTACACAAAACAATAATAAATGCCTTATTCAATATGGTAACAACTGTCTTTCATGTAAAGATGGCATTCTATCGGATGGGTTGTGTTATACATATGACGAAATCAACTGTGGATTGTTTACATATACATGCAGAAAGTGTGGAGATGGGTACTACAAAGAAGAACACTCGTGTGTATCCAAAGAACAGTATTCAAATTGCACGCATATTTCTGTTATTGAAAAGAGTTGTGTTCATTGTGAAAATGGGTATAATCTTGAAGATGGAAAATGCAATAAAAAAGCTGTACAAAATGAATACAATTTATATCTAAAATATACTAATATGAATATCAAAGCAAATTCAAATGAAACACACAATTGTTTTGAATTAACAGAAAGTGGATGTCTTCGATGTTTAGATGGTTATTATTTAGACAAAATGACATGTAAAAAATGTGAAGAACCTTGTGTCAAATGCTCGAATCAGACATATTGTACTGGTTGTAATGCATATTCAAACAACAAAGATGGGACATGTGAAGAGATCAACTCTCTCATTGAAGTGTGTGAGGTCATGATGTCCACATACACGGGCTGTGTCAAATGTGAAGATGGGTATTACAAATCAATGGATGGTAAACAGTGTAATAAATGTGATATATCTTGTGAGACGTGTATGAACGAAAAGATGTGTCTGTCATGTTCAGAAAACTATTATCAATCCAATTCACACTCTTTGTGTCTCAACCAAAATGAATTAATTCATTGTGCAAATAAAACGAGAAGTGGATGCACTTTATGTGAATTTGGATATTTTATATATCAAAATGAATGTCAAAAGTGCAAAGATAATTGCACCTCTTGTGATGCAAATGAAGAGTGCAGTTCGTGTGAGGACAACTACATATTACAGAATGGGGAGTGTCTCATCTATTCTTCATTAGATAACTGCATTTCATCGAGTTATTCGAAGTGCTCGCAATGTGCAAAAAATTACAAATTAAATGACGACCAAAATTTGTGTGTGAAACAAAATAAGTACTTTTTGTATATTGGTATCCCAGTGATAATAGTCTGTATTGTTATAATAATACTGACTATTATTATACTCACACTTTTTGTTCTTATTTTTAAGAAAAAGGAAGAAAAGAAAATGACAAATATCTGTGTTTTTAAAATCAAGAGATCAAACGTTACAATGAAGAAATTAGACAATGACATTTTAGTGAACAAAAGTGATTTATCTTTCAATGAAAATGATGTCAAAATTCCAGTTGAACAATCAACACGAGAATTGTTGTGTGTGGGGACACAAGGAAAAGGGAACATGAAGATACAAATAACAACTCGTGAAAATTGTGATGAATATGACATCAGAACAGAACCAAAAATAGTCACAATGAAGAGCGGATATGCTTGTGAATTTGAAATATTTATCACTCCAAAATGCACATTGAAAACTCAAGACAATTTTGTGATAGTTTCTCTTAACTTACTCACTGGAATCACTACAATGACTAACTTCCCATTTTCTGTTGAAACTGAAGAATCAACCAAATTAAATTACAAGGAACTAATTGAAGAGAAGGTGCTTGGTGAAGGTTCCTTTGGTATTGTTTACAAAGGAACTTTTAGAGGGAACGTCGTGGCAATAAAGAAAATGAAACAGAGTGGAAATGAAAGTTTAAAAAGTGGCGATTTATCTGAATTTGAGAATGAAGTTTCAATGTTGGACAAATTCAGGTGTGAGTATATAGTCCACTTTTATGGCGCAGTCTTCATACCAAATAAAGTGTGTATGGTCACTGAATTTGCACTGTATGGGTCTTTAGCTGACTTATTGAAACGAATGAAGACAGATGAAGTTTGTTTACAACTCAGACTTAAAATGATGAGAGACGCATCAAAAGGGATTTTGTATTTACACTCAAACGGGATATTACACAGGGACATCAAACCAGACAACATTCTCGTGTTTTCATTTGATGTGAATGAAACAGTGAACGCTAAATTAACGGACTTTGGAAGTGCAAGAAACGTCAATCTACTCACTACTAACATGACATTCACAAAAGGTATTGGTACACCCGTGTATATGGCGCCTGAAGTTATGCAACAAGAAAGATACAAGAAACCGGCTGATATCTACTCGTTTGGAATAACCATGTTTGAATGCTTTAGTTGGGAAAATGCATATCCTTCAAACCAATTTAAATTTCCTTGGAAAATAGCGGAGTTTGTAACTGGTGGTAATAGACTCAAAAGAAAACAAATTTCAGAGCAATTATTTGACATAATTGAAAATGCTGGCAACAGAATCCAAAAGATAGAAAGAAAATTGAAGAAGTTGATCAATTACTATTTAATTTAAGTACCATTAAATAAATTATGTTTTGTTCATTTAAAAGGTATTTAATTATTAACATTTTTTATATTTTTGATTAATCAATGATTTGACTCAAAAATTATAAAAATTAAATAACTACTGAATTTTAATAGACACGTTTTTTTACAAAAAACAAAGCTATATCAAAAAAGTTTATACATATTAACTCTTATTATTAATTCGTCGTTGCCTTCAATTAAAATTAAAAATGCAATTTTTATTTAAGATATTTAAATTTTGTATATTTCTATGTGGTCTGGTTATATGAAAAATAATAATTTCCAATGTTAAAATGAAACAAAAAAGTGTATAACCTCTTTATTATTTTGAAATTTATTTTATCTCCCTGTTATTTTTCCTTATCCATAAAATCGTCATTATTTTTACTATTTTTAGAAACATAGAAAATCATTTTTAACACTAAAAAACAAAAACAATAGTTTCACATTTTTATTATGATCAAAATATTGAGTAAAATGTATTTCAGAATTTATATTAAAATACGTTTTGGATATTATTGACGTCATTAAGTTTAATTTAATAAAGTAATTTGATTAATTATTAATATCGAGTAATGTGTTGATCATTAAAATTAGTTAAATTTAAACTTGGTATTAAAAATATTTACAGATGATAAAATAAACAAAATTGAAGAAAAATAATAAATTAACGTTTCAAGTTTTCATGATATCTCGATGTGTCAGTTTGTAAACGATTATTGTTGGAGTGACTTACTTGAAAATACATCGATTATCAAAAAAATTAACCTTAAAAATTGTATCGTTTTATTCATTTTGAAGATAAATGTATTGATATAAATTAGATAACTGGAGAGATTTTGACAAAATCAAACAACTATTGACTCAATAATATATATATTATAAAGTATATATATCTTTATATTTTATAAAGCAAAATATAAAGATATGTATCAATATAAAAATTATAAAACAATACAATATACTTACAGTCTAAACAACTTAGTATTAAACCTCCATAATAATCAAAACGTTATAAAAGCAATACAATAATAAAAATGAAACAATTAATACTTATTCACAATAGAAAAATTAATGCAATACAACGCTAATGTGGACAAATCAAAATACAGTAAAACTTTTCAAAAACAGTACTTTTAAAAAGTGGATTCTCTTAAAAGATGGTATTTTTCAATGAAACTAAAAATAAAGTTTTTTATAGAGCGGTAATTAAGGTTTGATTGGCTTAAAATGCCCACTTTAAAAAAAATAATAACCACACCTGCCCACTCTTTAAAGTTTTTACTGTACACTTTAGTTTTTTGAATAATAAAAACGTTTTATCATTCAAAAAATGGCCAGCTCCGAGTTGTGACATAAATCTAATTGAGCATTTGTAGTAATATTTGAAATATAAATAATAAATAAATAATACAAGTAATGAAAACATTTTTATTGTGTGTCATGTTGTTTGTAAAAAATACATCGAAAAAAATTAAAAGTACTTTGAATGTTAGAGTCAATGGTTGAAATTGTGCACAAGAAAAAATTACAAAAATATTGCAAGACTAATGACAATAAGTAATTTATAATATTTTTAATTATTATCATATTTTTCACAAAATCGTAACTGAAAAAATGACGCTTTTATGAAACAAGTTTGTGTATAAAGTCATTTAAATTATGATCTTATAAAAACAAGATAATTATTTTATTATATCGATATTTTTCTCTGTTTACATCATTTGATTTCTGTTTAATTAATATTTAATAATTTAAGTGATACAAAACTAATTGTGTTTAAAAAATGATTTAGAATTTAATTTTTCCAGAATAAAAAGCAGTGCAGTCATTTTGACCATTGCGGTAATTTATAATTACTTCAAGTCCGTAATCATAACCTTGTGGAAATTTGGTTTTGGATATATCAAATCCAAATTTATATTCTCCTTTTGTTAAAGTATCACTACCTTTTTCTCCAAAAGCCTTAATTAAATCGATCTTTTTTACAGTCTCGGTTTTCATAGGAATGTGATGTTGTTTTTGTTCCAAAACAACTTCAAGTTTCGGATTTTTGACGGGTTGTTGAGTTGAAACATCAAATACAAATCTATAATCTTCTTCATCAAATTCACGAAACTTAGCATCAGCTAATATTATTTCTTTATTGCAACCAGGTGAAATAATAGTAAATTCAATTTCAGAGGAGCACACAATAGAAATAAGGGCAACAAAAAACAACATTTGAATGTGAGAAACACAGTTTATTAGGTTTAATTATTACAAATTAAGTAAACAAAGTTTTATATGGTGATTTCTTTGGTAAACAAATAACGTGTAAGAAACAAATCAAAGTATGTATTTATAGTCTATATTTATACATTTTATGAAACATGTAGTTATTTAAAAACGTATCAAAATATTAAATGTGTAACAAGTTTAACATCAAATAACAACTAAATGAATTGATATTTTAAAAAAATTAAAATGTTTTGGTTTGACGAGAAACTTAACATAAATTGGTCGTTTGTTAACATAAAAAATAAAATGAAAACAAATTACAAAAATTATTTTAAAATAATAATATTATTTTATTAGTGTCTAAAAACTAATAATTTTTTAATAATAAGTTATTTTTTAATAAATGAAAAAATGAATTTATTTTTGAGTTGGTTTTTAACATTTTTATATTATTCTGTTATTATTATTGTAATTTTAAATCGTTTTTATAATAATTTATAAATAAGAATATTTTAATTATAATTTGATAAAAATCATTTTACGCAGTCAATTAATCTCAATCAATTTTTTGGTAATTGAAAAAAGTTTGATGAGTATTGTTTATTCATTTAACATAAACAAAATTCAAAAAAATATTTATTTTGTTTATGCTTATATTGCTATTATTATAATGATTGTTATAACGAACATCCATTTTTTTTACACTTGTTATTGATAAATTATTATTTGTTTACACTTTTAAAAATAAAAAACAATAAAGTCTGTTCATAAACCTATTTTATTTTATGTATTTTTTAGAGAAAAATATTTTTAACTTACTAGAAAGATAAGCTCCAAAAATAATATAAATATAACTATTTTAAAAATTAATTCGAAAATGTAAAATTGAATAAATACAATTGATTTGGTGATAAATTTGAACTTAATTAGAGAAAATATTGCTAAACAAACCTCAAGTCTGACTTCGAAGTCTTTTCGAAAATAAATATGACTGATTGAGACAATTTTAATACACTCTTTGATGAGCAAACTGACATCTACTAAAAACATGTAAACTGATGTTTAAATGTTCTAAGTAGACAGTCCAAATTAATTGTTAAGTTCGTTGGTGAAATTAATGGTAAGAAAAGACTTGTAATTCAATCAAAGAACATGCCAATATCTGAAAAAAGTTGTAATAAATGTAAATATAATTAAATGATATTGTATTGTAATACAAGTAAATTAAAGTCATTCTTTAACCTTAGAACGCTGATTCAAATCCACTAATTTTCTATCTCCCCCCTTTGGGACCAACTGGAAAATACTATTTATTATTTTTTTATACAAAAAAACAAAATCAACAAATAATCAAAACCATACTTAATTTTTTCTTTTCAATTGATACATATTGCGCGGAAGTGTTCATAACAACACCAAACATCAAATCCTTTATGAGATCAAACAATCAGCTTCATTGTCGAGACAAGTGTTTTATAATTATCATTCTGAGTGTTCAAAGACGTGTTCTTTATCGAAGTCGGAATCCTTTATTAAACTAATCAATATGGGTTAGTTAGTTAGTTGGGTTATTTTTTTTTCATAAATTATTATATTATATTATTGATAAAATATAATTATTTTAAATAGTTAATTTTTATGTTAATCTTATTTAATCAACATCTGTTTTTTTCATAATTAAAAAAAGTGAATGTAAATTCAAATCCTATAATTTTTATTATTTTTTCCAGTTCCTCCTTCCTAAGGTTAAACCGTGCAACTTTGACGTGTCAGTGCAACTTTATTTATAGTATAATTATAGTAAAAAAATTATATGTTTTTTAGAAACAAAACAAGAAAACACAAACAAATTTCTTTAAAACTATTACTCTAATTATTATACTATAACTAAACTATAACTAAAGTTGCACAAATTTTCTTAATTAGTTTTTTGGGTTGCACCATTCAACAATCTCGTGTTTACCGTAATTTTGCAGTGAAAAGGTCTTTGAATCACACGAATTGGCTTGTCTCATTATTTTCTTTTTTATAAACGAGATGTTTAACATCTGCGCCATCCACAATCGATATACATCAATGTTTTATTCGTTCTGTATGACAATTGGAATTCTGGAATTTTAATGTTTTTTATTAGAACAAGCAGTTGAACTTATCATTTAAATATAGAGTTATATTTTGTGTTGATTTATAACCTAATTCAACTTTTTGTTATTGTATTTGTTATTGTTGAAAAATAGAGTTTCACCTTTGTTGTGAGTAAAAAACAAAGAAAAAATAAAGTTGCACACTTGTTCTGAATGACTTTATTTCAAAATTATAAATATGGAACGATTTTAATAATTATTTCGATGAATTATTCGGTGATTGTGTGTTTAAAATTATAATATTGATATCTTAGGTAAATTAGTACTCATTTACATGTTTTATCTGTGTATTTTATATACTATTCGATGATAATAATATAAACTTTAATAATCATTTTAAAATATTCGATTACACCAGATTTTTCTCAATACAAATAAAATTTTTAATAACATTATTTATAAAAAATTATTATTTTTAAGGGATTCATGAGGATTGTTAATTTTTCTGAGGATGGTAAATATCTTAAACATAATTTCTTTCAATTTAGATTTTTTTTGCCTAAGATCAAAAAGGTATATTTTGAAACACATGATTTTCTTTAAAAATGCTATTTATGGATTTTTTGAAAGATGATTCTTTCAGTTGATTTTTACAAAAAAATAATCTACTTCTATTTTCTGATTTACCACAAGACTAACCTTGGTTTATATGAAAACATTTGACAGACATTTAAATTATCGAAAAAGTCGATTTTTTAATCAAAATCACAAAACAAATTAATCGAACAATTTTTAATTTTTTTTACAAAAATAATTTATTATAAATCAATTCATGATATTTCAAACAATAAAAATTGATAGCAAATAACATATTTATAATGTATACTTTATGTCAATTCCCGGTGTGTTGCATGTGAGGAAGGATTGATCTTAAACAATGGAAAATGTGAAGCTCCCACCAACTGTTTGTATATAGCCAATGGAATCTGTTTACAGTGTAATAAAGATGAGTATTTAGATACTAACATGTTATGTCAAAAGTGTGATTCAAATTGTTCTACATGTGTAGTGAACAGTTTCACATGCACATCATGTAAAGAGGATTATTACTTAACAACATCTCATCAATGTGATTCCAATGAAAATTTAGCTAAAAAGTGTCAAAAGCTCTCCACAGTAAGTCAAGGGTGTTACCAGTGTTTAGACGGATTTTATCGTGTTGGGCTTGACTGTTTAAAATGTGATGAATCATGTGCAACTTGTCAGAAATCTGGGTCGTGTATTACATGTCAAGACACTTATTTCATGACAAATGAGAATAAGTGTGAGCCACAAGACATCATAGTTGGGTGTGCTGTGAATATTACATCCACACTTGGATGCACATCTTGTTCTCCTGGATATTACACTTTTAAAACTAATCAATGCGCTAAGTGCGATTTGACATGTAAGACATGTAGTGTATTGAACAAATGTATTTCGTGTTCAAATAAAAATATTTTAAATAATAATGGACAATGTATTGCAATGAATAAAGTCGACAAATGTGTTGAAGTGGCAAATTCAAAATGCTCAAAATGTTCGTTTTGGTATGTCCCAAGTGAAAGTGGTACCTTTTGCAATACAAAAGCGGTGTGGTGGGTGATTATTCTTATAGTTTTGTTTTTATTAATTATTATAGTAATATGTATAGTATCCATCGTCTTTATTTTCAATTCTATACAAAGAACTATTCACAAAAAAGAAATACAAAAATCCACCACAGTATTTACAATGTCCAAATCAAATATTCAATTTATTTCAATTGGGAGTGGCATTGTTGTGAATAAGACGGAAATTATTTTTGGTAATGACGAAGAAGTGAACGTCAACGAAAAGCAGCGCGAATTGTTATGTGTAGGCAACACTACTCAACACAACATGAAAATTCAAATTTCAACAAAAACAAGTCAAAGTGACAAAATTGAGTTTACTTCAAATCCACAAATTGTGTTTTTAAGAAAAGGAGAAGCCTGTGAATTTGAAATTGAAGTGACTGTTCTTTGCACTTTGAAATTTCAAAGTTCTTTTCTTCTTGTTGCAAATTCGTTTGATAAAGAAAAAGCAATTTACAAGGAAATCACATTTTCTGTTGTTTCAAAATTATCGACGCGACTTGACTCGGACGAACTGATAGAAGAAAAGAAAATAGGAGAAGGATCTTTTGGTGTTGTGTACAAAGGAATTTTTAGAGGGAATGTTGTTGTTATTAAAAAAATGAAAAGTTCTGAAGAAAATTCACTTGATGAATTTAACAAAGAAGTTTCAATGTTGGACAAATTTAGGTGTGAGTATATCGTTCACTTCTATGGAGCCGTGTTTGTACCAAACAAGATGTGTATGGTCACTGAATTTGCACAATTTGGGTCGTTTTTTGATGTGATGAACAACAAAA